GTTCAAATTATATTTTTGAAAAGTCTTCTAACTTAACAAGAGTTTCTGCGTTGAATCTTTGTGGTGTTTAAGAACATGTTCAGAGGTTCTTTCTTTTTTTCAGTGAAATAAATTTTTGGTTGATTTGCTGCAATTATGGAACTTTCATCAGTCTTGTCCATTTTCTTACATTTGTATGTTCACTTTAATTGATTTCAGAATTTTCATCAAAGTTTTCAATGTAAGTATTTGAGGAAGAAATGCTCTCAATCCCAGAGCTGATCTCTGACTTTCTCACTCCGTTATTCAGCCATTCAGCAATGTCATCATGTCCTCGTCGTCTCCTGTTCTCTGAAATGCTCTCATATCCTGAGGCAACATCTCCACTCACTGAAACAGACATTGATGTGTTATTCAAGAGAACAAAGCATGTAACAAAGACTGTAAATTCAATATTAATTCATTATTATATAAAACTTACTGTCAGGAATGTTACCATCATCTTTGCTCTCTGCTGTTCTCACATGAGGTTCTGTTGGTTCTTCTGGTTCCTTTGATAAAGCTTTCATCACTCTCTCTATCAGCTCCTGTTCTCTCCTTTTCCATTCTTCTTCTATCTGTTTTGCTTGCCATGGTAGAATCTGAGGTTTTTTTTCTTTGGCTTTAAATGTGAAACATTCTGTGTTTTGTTTTATCATATTAATAATTTTTTGGAACAGTTCTTTGATATGACCAGGATAATCAGAAACACAGTCTTTTAGAACATGGTATCTGTTCCCACATTTCTCCAGAAGCTCCTGGAGCTCCTTTCCCTCTCTGACAATGTAATTCTCTACAGGGACGTCACTGATCCAGTCTCCCCGGGTAAAAACCACCATGCAGCGTCTCCACACTCTCTCTGTTAATGGCTTCATGATCTCCACCAGAGCTTTGAGATCTTTCTCTGTGAAAGATCTGAGGATGGGAACAAGCAGGAGAAAAACATGAGGTCCAGGAGAACACATGGAGACACTGTGGAGAACTTCATCTTTGATCCAGTCAGGTGGTGTTGGGTCTGAGAACCAGCCTGGAGTTTCAACAACTGAGACTTTTACTCCATCAAAGTTTCCTTCATGTTTCACACACGTTGAAGTTTCTCTCTGATCTTCTTTGTTCTGAAATTATATAAAGCAAACACACAAAATTTATTCTTGAGGCACAATAAAAAAAAATTGAAAAGGTCTGTAATTAATTTACTGCAAATTTTTGCATTTTTGTATAAAAGTCATATAGTCAAAATAAGCAACATTTCAGATAAAAAAAAAAAAACTTTTGCTGCTAAGTGGACTAAACAGACATTATATCCAGCATTTATCATTTTTAATATGATTTGTCATTCAACCATAAGATTGATACAAAGTACAGTGCTATTATACCAAGTGTTTCAGGAACCCCTGATTATTCCTGTAATTTGTTTAAAAAAATAATTCTTTAAATTTTTATGCTGACATAAAAATTTGTCAGCATAAAAATAGCTAACTGCTATTTAATGCTAAATAGCAGTTAGCATTAGCCTCCATGGAAACTAATCAGATGAAAACTTTAAGTGTGTTACCCATTACAGGCAAGATCATATTTGTTCACAACTTTCCCACAGAAACCCAAACCCTCAGGACTTTTGTGTTTGCTGCAACATGTTTTGCAGATGTTATTGTAGGCTTTAATCACTTTGGAGATGGGCTCACTTATCTTCTACAACTGATACAAAACAATTGTCTTTTTTAGCTTCCCATCCGATAATTTTTTGAAGCAAAAATTAACACCCAATGAGAAAACAAGAATGACTTTGTCATGTCCATCATTGTGGTTTCCAGTGCATCACTTTTAAAGATGTATAGGAAGAAACACAAAACAAAGATCCCAGCTTGAGACTTTTATGGAAGTCTGTTACCACTGAAAGAAATCTCATAGTTTTATAACTTACCTACCTCATAAGAGGTACAGAGTCATAGAACAGAGTCAACAAATGTAACAAATGCCATTGTTACACATCAGAATGCTGATTAATGTTTAATTTATGTTTCAAAAACAACTCTAAACAGATGGGTTTTTAGTCTATTTTTAAAAGTACTCGGTGTTTCGGCTGTTTTGCAGTTTTCTGGAAGTTTGTTCCAGATTTGTGGTGCATAGACGCTGAATGCTGCTTCTCCAGATTTGGTTCTGGTTCTGGGGATGCAGAGCAGGTCAGAACCAGAAGACCTGAGTTGTCTGGAAGGTTGATTCAGAAACAGCAGATCTTTAATGTATAGTGACGCTAAGTTCAGTGATTTATAAACTAACAGCAGTATTTTAAAATCTATTCTCACTAGCCAGTGTAAGGACCTGGGGTGATGAGCTCTAGTGGAGAACATGAGCATATATAGACTGTGTCAAATGTTTTTGCATGCATGTTGTGTTACCTTTTTCAACCAAGCTCTCTCAAAGTTTATATTGAAGCTCTTGTTGAAAAGAACCAGATTTCCAGCTTTACTTTTTCCAGAGCATTTGTGGCCAATAAGAACAATATTGATTTCAGTGACTTTGTGTCTCTCGTCTGTAAAACAAACAAAAATTA